GCATTGAATTTAATATATCTTTCTTGGTAACAGGAGATTTGGAAGTCTCAGATGGCTGAGCACATAGAGGATGTTTAGGGGAAATCTATCCCCTTTAGGGAAACCCTGGTGGTGCAGTGGTTAAGGGTTCAGCTGTAACCAAAAGTTCGGCAGTTCAAATCCACCAGGCACTCCTTGGAAACTGTATGGGGCAGTTCTATCCTTTCCTATAGGGTTGCTATGAGTCGGAATGGACTCAGTGGGAATGGATTTGGTTTTTGTTTTTTTTTTTTTAATCCCCTTTAGAGCTGCAAAATCAAGAGTTAAGAATTTACAGACACATCAATGTTTTACAGCCCTACACAACCAGCTAAAGAAAGAATCCAAGTGCCAAATGGAAATTTGATTCAAAGTACCATTCAGGCTTATTCTAACTTTGCTGATTCTTGGAAAATAAGAAAATTAGAATGGGAGTAATACTTCTAGAAATATTCATTCTCTGGGAGCCTATTTATCTCCAGTTACTCATTTCCCTTAAGAGTTACTAATCTGGAGAATTTATACACTATAGATGTGGTCTTGGAAGCAAAGCGCTCTTGGTGAAGCTGGACATCTTCGGATGTTCTTCTGGAAAGATAATGCTCTACCTCTAAGAAGAATTAGGAGTTTCTGGGTGGTGCAAACAGTTAATGAGCTTAGCTGCTAACCTGAAGGTTGGAGTTTTGAGTTCATCCAGAGGTGCCTCAGAAGAAAGGTCTGGAGAACTACTTCTGAAAAAAAATCAACCATTGAAAACTCTATGGAGCACAGTTTTCCTCTGCCACACGTGGGGTTGCATGAGGCAGAGGTGACTCCACAGCAACCAGTTTTAAGAAGAGTTAAAGTATTCAGTAGGCAGAGTTTTGGAGCAGACAACTTCGAGGAAGGATGGCTAAAATGTTCAAGAGCGAAGCCTGTTATTTTATTTAGCTACATGTACAACGATGTTGAAAAGAAATCTGAGGCCAAGAGCAAGCATAGCAAGAATCACTGCCATGGAGAGGCAGAAATGGAAAATTTCTGTTCTGGAGGAAATTTAAGTGTATGCTGACCCTAGGACTTTCTACATTTTGTTGGGATCCATAACTTCTAGCAATCTTACAAAATCTTAGAAGTTAGAAGGTTTCCTTGAGTGCTGCTGTAGTCATTAATGTTTAAAATAATATGAACAAAAATATCTATGTGTAAGTAGAGGTCCTTGTCACTCAATTCTATTCTTTTATTATTCCTCCCATACAAAAAGACAAAGGTTGCTGAATGTGATTGTTAGATGTGTTTGCTTCTTTGCGCAAGCCAATTTTACATAATACCAAGCGAATGCTTACAAAAGAATCAGAAGCCAAAATATAATGAATTAAAAGATGAGAAAAGGTTAAAATGAATCTTGTTGCTGCTAGTGATAATTCAAGTAGAACAAAAACAAGGCTGTAGCCTTGGAGAATGAGGGTAATGAGTGAAGGAAATCAACTGGAAAAGGGCAACCTGGATTTGGGGCTTCTTTGACTCTGTTAGATGGAATATTAAGAAATAAATCCAAAGATTTGTAGCAATGACAAAATATCTAGAAATGTAAAAGTTTTTTCCTTCATTTTAACCCTAATGCATTAAGCTTCTCTAGAAGTATTTACAGTCTAATCACTAAAATCTATAAAATATTTCAACACCTCAATAACAAAAAGACAAATAATCCAATCAAAAAATGGGAAGAGTATATGAACAAACACTTTAACAAAGAAGACATTCAGGCAGCTAACAGACATATGAGGAAATGCTCATGATCATTAGCCATTAGAGAAATGCAAATCAAAACTACAATGAGATATCGTCTCTCCCTGACATTACTGGCTTTAATAAAAAAAAACATAAAGTAACAAATGTTGGGGAGGTTACAGGGAGACTGGAACTCTTATGCACTGCTGGTGGGGGTGTAAAATGGTACAATCACTATGGAAAATGACATGGCACCTCCTTAAAAAGCTAGAAATAGAAATAACATACAATTCAGAAATCCCACTCCTAGGAATATATTCTAAAGAATTAAGAACCCTCTTTCAAATAGATATACGCACACCCATGTTCATTGCAGCATTATTCACAATAGCAAAAAGATGGAAACAACATAAGTGCTCAGCAACAGATGAATGGATAAACAAATTATGCTACATACACACAATGGAATACTACACAATGATAAAGAACAATGATGAATCTTTGAAACATCTCACAACATGGATGAATCTGGAGGGCAATATGCTGAGTGAAATGTCAGTCACAAAAGGACAAATATTGTATAAGATCACTATTATAAAAATCCAAGAAAAGGTTTACAAACAGAAGAAAACAATCATTGATGGTTATGAGGGAGGGATACAACGGAGGGGAAATCCCTAACTAGATACTAGAGAAGTACTAACTTTGGCGAAGGGAAAGACAGCACACAACATAGGGGAAGTCAGCACAACTTGACCAAGGCAAAGCCATGGAAGCTTCCTAGATACATCCAAACACCCTGAGGGACTGAGTTACTGGGGCTGAGGGCTGGGGACCATGGTCTTGGGGGACATCTAGCTCAATTGGCATAACATAGTTGTTAAAGAAAATGTTCTACATCCTACTTTGGTGAGTAGCGTCTGGGGTCTTAAAAGCTTGTGAGCAGTCATCTAAAATACATCCATTGGTTCCACCCTGTCTGGAGCAAAGGAGAATGAAGAAAACCAAAAGTACAAGGAAAATATTAGTCCAAAGAACTACTGGACCACATGAACCACAGCCTCCACCAGCCTGAGCCTAGAATAACTAGATGGTGCCCAGCTACCACCACCGACCGCTCTGACACGGATCACAAAAGAGGGTCCCGGACAGAGCAGAAGAAAACGAAGAAAAAAATTCAAATTCACAAAAAAAGACCAGACTTACTGGTCTGACAAGAGACTAGAGGAACCCCCAAGACTAAAGCCACCGGACACCCTGCTAACTCAGAACTGAAACCACTCCTGCAGTCCACCTTTCAGCCAAAGATTAGACAAGCATATAAAATAAACAATAACACGCATGAGAAATGTGCTTCTTAGTTCAGTCAAGTATACAAGACCAAGTGGGCAACACCTGCCAAAAGCAAAGACAAGGCAGGAAGCGGCAGGAAAACTGGATGAATCCACACAGGGAACCTGGGGTGGAAAGAGGGAGAGCGCTGACACATTGCAGAGACGGTAACCAATGTCCCAAAGCAATTTGTGTATAAATTTTTGAATAAGAAACTCATTTGTGCTGTAAACTTTCACCTAAAACACAATTACAAAGAAAAAAAGAAGTATTTACATCAAAGACTATAGCAGCTATGGTAAGAGCACAATTGTAACGCATATTTTAAAATAACGTTAGTTTCTTGTGATTGACAACATTGGAGAAGGAAAAGGAATATTGCTTTAGAGTACTAGAGTGTCTGGTTGTTTAAATGTTGGCAGATATAAGATATAACTTCCTTGAGATAAGAGACATTTTCCTCTTGGTTTTGAACCTGTAATAAAATGCTGTTGACAGACTAATTATAAATGTTTTATATATTTCGTGCATATGTGCTTCTCTCTAAACCAATTTAATTCTCATTAATGCTAATCTTGTTAATGCCCACTCTGAGAGGGAAGAAATACTCTTAATAAACTACTGATTTATTTGAGCAATTTAAATGCGGAATGGGCAAGAACATACAGAAGAAGAGGATTAACCATCATTTTACCCAAATTGATATTTCTTAGAATATTTTCCAAATATTAATGAACATTAGGTTATAACCAGTATGAGTAAGGAATGGGGAAAAAGACAAAGTGAGAGTTCTCCATCCATGAAAAATAAAGCATTATAAATGCGTTGTTAATTGATATTTTCAGCACCATCTCAAAGGTCAGAAACGAGATACACAGAGAGGCAGATGTTCTTTCTTTAAAAAGAGGTGAAGAAAAATGGTACTCACACTTGTAAGCTATTACTGACATGGGTTTTTCTTTTTTAAAAATGACAACCAAATCAACAAATGGTAAGTTCCATTCCTACCACATCTCGGCCTGCTCCTAGTGGGGCTGTCCGTCTTGTTCCCAATACAAGAATCTAATAACTTCTCTCAACGTCAATCAAGCTGAGATCTCCACATCACAGGGTACTCTAATAGGCAAGGTTGGCCCTGTGCCCAGATCTGAGTAGTGTCCTTGAGCACAAGCCCCACTGTGTAACCAGACTGGAGGCCATAATGGTAGCCTGGAACAGAAACCCTCTCTGTCACTTCTTAGATCATCCCCAAACTAGCAACCATTTCGAAAGACGTAGATGCCTTTATTTCCCATTCTCCCCAGGAAGAGTGGCATGACATAGGGAAAAAGTAGAAGGTGAGATTTTTCCCAGAGACCACCATCTGGCTTTAAGATAAATCATTTAACCTGCCTGAGACTCAGTTTTCTTATCTGTAAAATGGGGATAATCATCTCTATGTTTTTGTTCCTAAACCACATAGTACAAGAATAAAAAAAGATGTATTTGAAATCATTGTGAAAACTACGAAGTGATGTACATACAGTATTATCACGTGGATAATGGTTTAAAAAAGGGGCACAGGAAAGATTAAAGGAGGAAACACATGAGAATAGATATCAATTTTATCAGGGCTGTTTAAAAAAAAAGGGATGTTTACCCTCAGGATTTTCTTAAAACTTTTAATGACAACTGATCCTTATCCTTTATGATTGTGTATATAAAAGATAAAATAAACGCTGAGAATTTGAAGTATTTAGATGAATGAAGTTTTCCTTTTTTATCCAAATGTTTGCTGTTACACACTGAGGGGAGGGCACGGGTGAGAACAATCTCTTAACATTCATCAGAAAAAAAATACTGAAACGAATATTTTCAGCACAAATATTAAACTGCCTCTTCTCTACCCATTGGTAAAAAAATATATTATATTTCAATATTTTTCTTTTTAAATTATATCGTTATCCATCCCAGCCAAAGTCGTGCCCGGTCATCTGGTAGAACTTGAGGTTGAAGGGCCGGTAGAAGTCCCGCAGTCTCCGCACCACCTCCGGGTCTATCTCGGGGTGGGCCCTGCCCTTGGTCTTGCCCAGGCAGTGGGGTTTGCTGCTGCCCTCGGCCTTCTTGAGGCAGGGGAAGCCCTTGGTCTTGTTGAAGTAGAAGTGCTTGTCGGTGATGATCCTCTTGAGGCCCAGGAAGTCCTGCACGCGCCCCAGCTCGCCGGCCGGGTCCCGGATGAGCCGCTCCCCGCTCACGAAGAGCATCTGGCGCAGGGGGAAGTGCAGCAGCCAGTGCTCCAGGTGCTTGGCGTACAGGCCGATCTGGATGGCGCTCCACGACGTGTCGATGAGGCCTGTCGTGCGGTTGCGGAACGTCAAGTTCTCGAAGGTGGGGATGTCGGGCCGCTTGGAGAGCGTCTGCGTGTAGTCCGAGATGGCTCTGGTCACGGGGTCGCGCACCACCACGATCAGCTTGGTGTCCCTGGACATGGCCGAGATGCGCGCCGGCGCCTCCCTCGTGACAAAGTAACTGGGCGTCTTCTCCATGGTGATCTGCCCGTCCAGGGTTCTCGGCATCAGGTCCCTGAGAAAAGGAAAAACGGGTGTTAGAGACTGAGCACTGAGTATCTTCCTCTGATTAACACTGTTGTTGAGAGCTGCTATTGAATCAGCCCTAACTCACGGCCACCCTATCCACAATGAAGGAAACGCTGCCTGGTCCGGAGCCAACCCATGATCTGCTGCTGCAGGTCCAACGTTGTGATCCACAGGGGTTTCATTGACTAATTTTCGGAAGTCGATTCCCAGAGTTTTCTTCCTAGTCTCTCTTAGTTTGAAGTTCTGCTGAAACCTGTTAGCATTATAGCCAAAAAAAAGCCTCCACTGGCTGATGGGTGGTGGTTGTGCATGAAGTTCATTGGCCAGGAATTGAAACTGGGTCTTCCACAAGGAAGGTGAAAATTCTAGCACTGAACCACCACCGCCCTCAATAAATCATATGAAAGTTGGCTATTATATTCCTGTGGCTAAAAACAAGCACACCGTCATCATCAACACTAGCATTAGCATCGGTCTACCACCAACTACCAATGCCTCATTCCCTGATTTACACAGAGAGGGCATTTCAAGGGAGCCAGACAGCCTGGGCTTAAATTCCAACCCTCCTGCTTACTAAATATGTGACCATGGAAAAGTCACCTAATGGCTCTGCACCCCGGGTTCCTCATCTATCAAATAAGGAATAATAACATTACCTATCTCTTAGGGTTGTCCCGATGATTAAATTAGTTAATATATATAATCAGCTGAGAAAAGTGCATGGCACTTAATCAGTGCTATATAAGTTTTTGTTTTTTATTATTATCAGTCAACAATGCTATCAAATAAAACCTTGATCAAATTCTTCAGGTGAATTAGAATATCACAACACACACAATTATACTGTTATGGAGTTACTGGGTGATGCAAACGGTTAAGTGCTCAGCTGCTAACCAAAAGGTTGAGGTTTGAGTCCACCCAGAGGTGCCTTGGAAGACAGGCCTGGTGGTCTACTCTCAAAAAATCAGCCATTGAAAACCCCATGGAGCACAGTTCTACTCTGACACACATGGAGTCACCATGAGTTGGAACTGACTCGATGGTAACTGGTTTTTAACGAGTTTATATTGCTATCAGAAGGGCATTAAAATATCCCAGACCCTTTCTGTAGCTTTTTTATAAATAGAACTAATGTATTTAACATAATATCAAACATATTACACAAAGCACTTATCTTCATAATTCCTGAGTTTTACTGTAACGAACAATAAAAAAGGTTTGTGAGTTAAATAAACCATCTTTTTTCCAATGGCTTGAAGTTCTGCCATATTATAAGCTAAATACCTTTGTTCCTGTCTGCATTGGTCCAATTATCATGTTGTTTAAGTTATAACAGTAAAATCTGTGAAAGCTGGAACCTGTGTAAGGTGGAAACCTGTCAGAGAAGGAAAACTCAAATATTTTCCACTAAAAAGAGGACAGAACAGTGGTAAGACTGCACCCCATCAAAGGTGGAAAACTCCTAAGACCTGGAAAAACAAGGCAGTGTGGTCGAGTTCCAGCCCCACAGGTTTCACTGTATCATGTCACAGTATATTTTAATGCATGCCAAAGCAAATCCCAACTATTGTTCAACATGTTCTTGATTATTCTTATCGGCTTATTCTTCATGATGAATGTTAGAACCACTTTGTCATGTTAAAAAAATACCACTGGAGTTTGGATGGAGTAGATATTGCTGCTCAGTTAAAGCATGCTTTCCTATGGAATTAGAGCAGAAGCGAGAAAAGCTATTTGCTATTCCAGCTTAAGAGTACTGCCATGTAATTCACTAT